GGCAATCTTAACTTCCAGTTTAATGGAATCGTTGTTGTGTCTCCTGGTGTCAGCATTTCCCCCTCTGGAACTAAGACCACTAGGCCAGCAGGATGTAATGTCACAGAAACAGGAAGCAAGAATTTTGCTAGTGGATCACTAGGGGGTGATGGTGAGTGGTACTGTGTCCCCCCTTTGATTCCTAGACTGGTGAATCCCGGTTATGGGAGAAACAGTACCATATATTGGACACTGATTCAGAGCATACACAACCTTCTGGAGAACTGATTGGATTGAAGGCAGAACCAGGTGGAGGTAATAGGATCATGGGAGCGGTTTCTCCCATGCTGTTCTCGTGATACTGAGTGCATTTTCATAAAATTTGAAGGGGCTTTTCCCTTTTTGCTCAGCAATTCTCCTTCCTGCTGCCCTGTGAAGAAGGTGCCTTTCTTCCCCTTCACCTTCCACCCTGATTGTAAGTTTCCTGAGGGTTTCCCAGCCATACTAAACTATGAGTCAATTAAATCTTTTTTCTTTATAAATGACCCAGCCTCGGGTATTTCTTCACAGCAGTATGAGAACAGACTAATACAGGTGGTTAAGGGAAACTGAGTGGGCAGACTAGGGAGATGTTGCCCAAAGTATACAAAATTTCAGTTAGATGGGAGAAATAAATTCTGGACGTCTAACACACAACATGGTGACTCCAGCTAATAGTACTGTATTGTATTCTTGAAAATTGCTAGGAAAGTAGATTTTAAGTGTTCTCACTACATAAAGTGACACATATGTAAGGGAATGCATAAGTTAATTAGCTCAGTTTAGTTATTCCACAATGTATGTGTATTTCAAAACATGCTCTACACGAGAAATACATACAATATTGTCAATTAAAGAATAAATAAATTAGGGGGAAAAGGAAAGTGCAAAAAAACTATTCCGGTCTCTATATAAATGAGATTTTACAAAATTGCTTTTCCTGATTACTATATGGAAGTCTCTCACCTCGAATCTGTTTCTCCTCCCATTCCCTTCTAGATGGGATATAAGATTTCAGGAGCTGGCCTCTCAATTTTGTTCATGGTGGTTCCCTAGCATCTTGGATAGGGTGCCGAGCACTTCATACGCTCACTAACTTGAGTGGAGTAATTACAAACTATTAAATCATTTGTGCATTTGTGTCTGTGTAAATGTATTGTCTGACCATATAAGATATTACATGTGTGAGTTCTCAAATGTATTGTCTGACCATATAAGATATTATATGTATGAATTCTCAAAATTGAATCTAAAAAGTGAAACACTATGCTTTCTATTAGTGTTTTCAACAAAAATTGTACAAAAAATATTGACTTAAATTTAAATTAATTCATCTAGGTAATGTATACCTGTTTAATAAATCTATTTATCAGAATTTTATTACGATATGAATGTTTGTTTGCAAAATACTGATATTACCTTATGTTATGACTATAATTTTGCAACATAGAAATAAATTATGCTTTAATAAGTTGTTAATTTCCACATGTAGTTTAACATGTACATATCTGTATACTAAAATGATATGCTATGAACTGACCTGAATCCTCCTGAAATTCATATGTAGAAGCCATGAATGTGACTGTATTTGGAGATAGACCCTTTCAGGAGGTAATTAAGGTTAAATAAAGTCCTAAAGATGGGTCCTAATCCAATAGAACTTGTGGCCTTATGAAAAAAGGGGGATACACCAGAGAGGAGCTCCTCTCGCTCTCTCTCTGTCTCTCTCTGTCTCTGTCTCTCTCCGTCTCTGTCTCTCTCTGTCTCTCTCTCTCTCTCTCTCTCTCTCTCTCTCTGTCTGAGCTCAGAGGAAAGGGAATGTGAGAACACAGTGAGAAACCAGGAAGAGAGCTCTCATCAGAAACCCAATTTTTTTGCTCTTTGATCTCAAACTGCTTGTGTCCAAAACTGTAAGAACGTAGATTTCTATTGTTTAAGACACCCAGTCTGTGGTATTTTGTTACTGTAGCCTGAGCTGAGCAATACAATATCCAAATCAGATCTCATATGAACTCTAACTCACAGTCATTTACATGTGAGTGATCACTTGTTTAGTTGGAGTTTATATCATGTGGGCAGCTCCTGATGCCTCTTCATCATAGTTTTGTCATACTCAGTGATCAGTGTATCTTTTCTTTGCTTTATCATAGTTTTATAAATATTTATTCCCTTTGAGTGACAGTATAAGATATAGAATTTAGTTATTACTATAAAATAACTTTTAGTGCTGGCTTTAACTGTTACTAAAAATACACTAATTTGTTACTGATCAAAGCAGTGTTATATGGGAAATTGAAGTGACTTGAAACTCTCCATTGCAAATTCTGCACTCTAGTTCTCACCACTTATACAAGAGTGTTTTCTCTAAGAGCCGCATTCTCTCTGCAGATATAACCATTTAGAGTGGTTATATTGTCATTCCCTGGATTCGAGTGATAAGAGAATAAATTTCAAGCTCACTGCTACATACAAGACTACTTCAGATTGTTTGCAAATCATTGACTGTATTACTTCCTTGTGGCACATTAAACATGCCCCAACCACAACCTCCTGCTCTTACCTCCTGGGTATTTAGTGTTTAATAGTGTCAGGAACAGCTGGTGTGCTATCCAAGCACTGAAAAAGGTAGTCCTCGGAGATTTTCATGCTCCAGGCAACTGACCGAGACTTCTTAATGGAAAGAGTACAAAATGTCTGTCTTTTGCATGAGTTTTGTGGCAGTCATGAAGCAGCTGACAAAACAAGCTGGTATACTGGTGTTTAACTGCATTCTTGTAAACACCCAAAAAGGCCACCTTTAAGAACTTTTGGAGAATTTACGTTGGAATCTGCTCTTTCACTAAAGAGGATTAACCTATATTGTAATTCAGTGAAAAATTATTTTTAATTCTATAGATACAACTGAAGAAATGTGATAGGAATACAGTTATTCTTGCTATCCAGTGATCCTTTTAAGTAGCTCAAAGTGGGCTGTATGAAAAAATATTTGCAACTTCGATGCATTAATGATTTCCCAATTCACTCCTTTAAATATTTGAGCTTTAAAAATAACTGACATAAACAATTTAATACAACTAATAGAAGAAAATATTTGTTCAGCATAGTGGAGGTTCATGTAAACATTAAAAACAAAAATGTAAAAGTGAAGACAATACGTGTTCATCTTTGCTTTCCCCACTGTACATTGCAATGTGGTGTTAGTTTGGCAAATTTTATTAATGTTGTCACTAAATATTTCTTATTTCTCAAGTATTTTAATTTCCTATTTGTAACTAAGTATAATACTTTCCTTTCCTTCAAATATATCCAACATGTAGAACAATGTATAGTTTTTCAACTGTAATATTTATATCCAGAATTAGGGCAGCAGTGAATATTTGTAGACTTTGCCTATGTAACACATGTATAGTGGAGGGATAGTAAACATCCTGATGAATATTCTGGAGGAAAATACTGCTGGGAAGATAGGGCTTTACTCTTAATAAACTGTCGATTTCTATAGCATTATAGAAAGGTAGTTTTAATGAATCTTTAATCCAGGTACCCAATGTTTCATAGAAATAAACGTTGGTCAAATTGTGATTAATGATAGTGATGATGTTGATGATGATGATGGTGATGATGATGGATAATATTAGTCTTCACTCCTGACTTCCCAGTAATGTTTATCTACATTCCCTCTAAAAGTTCCCTCTAAAAGTTTCTTTTCTTGGGAAAGGCTGCTGTAATATATTTTTCCTCTGTTAATAAAGCCAAGATTCACTCAACCATTTTAAACTGAAAGACCTTGGCATTGAATGTCTACAAAAAGTTATCGTTTCTTACTCTTGTCACAAGCCTAACATTTATTAAAAGAAAATGGTAGAAATGAAAAAGTAATTCATTCTTTTAGCTTCTATAGTAATCTAGGAAGACATAGTTTGTTCTAAATTTGTACTCTTAGAGAAAAGGCTGAAAGAGTAATTGAATGAAAAGGAACAATCCTATTTTCCCCAAAGAGAACAGTTACTTTGAGTGCCTCCAACAGATTAAGGGAGTTCTACTCACTGAATAAATTTGGATGTACACATGTGTATGTGTATGTATGTATATAGATATATAGAAATATATGTGTATATATATACACACATATATATGTCTATTTTATTTGCTCCAATTTGGGTACTTTTGATTTCACTTTGTTCTGAACTCAGAATAGTAACATTGAATAGGACGTTAGGAAGAGATACTCACTTTACACATCTTTAGAGACTGATTTCAATATGCTTATGAACAGATAAGGAAAATACAGAGAAAAGCTCTCTTCAACTTCTTTTAGTACAGAAAAAATATACCCATGCCAAAAAAAAAAAAAAAAAATTAGGAAAGCTGCAGATCATTTGATTGTTTGTGGTGTCTTCCTATGTCACTGAATCTTTAGGTTCATTCAATCTTGAGGCAAAGAAGTGCTCTTATAGCTATTTTGCTATTCTTTATAGTTTCTCAATTTATCAAATATTCCTTTTCTAATTAAAGGCTTCCTGATGCTAGTAGGTAGTTGTTAATTTTTAAATTGCAATTGCAAATTACTTAACAACCTCTAATGTTCAGTACACTCTAAACCTTTTAGTCTCTCTATTGATATCTTAATCATAAAATTAAAACATCAATAGTAAGCAGATGAGCTAATATAAGTGGCGTCCATGCTTTCTTTGGTGGACCAATCAATAAAGGTATCATGATGACTTTCATTTCAATGGTTCATCTCCTAGAAATGGACACAGCTTTTAAAAAATATATTTAAAGTTGTGATTTGTACTAACAACTATATCATTGCTCAACATTTTGGTTATAATGGTTAAACTATCCTCAGTGACATCATGTACTCATGGCATACTTGACATAGGTCAAATACCAAAGGAAAATTGAGTTCAGCAGATAAGAGACATGACCTTGAAAGAGGTAAAACAAAAATGCTGGAGTGATATTGTCTTATTTTCCAGGTGCATATGTACTCCAGGTCAAGGCCACAGATGCAGATGACCCGACCTATGGAAACAGTGCCAGAGTCGTTTACAGCATTCTTCAGGGACAACCTTATTTCTCTATTGATCCCAAGACAGGTAAATTTTTTATTAGAGGCAACATTATCACCAGCCCTTCAAATATTTAAACTTTAATTAAATCTTGGCATGGGGAGTTGCATATTGTAATACAGCCATAAAGCTTCAGTGCAATGTGCATTAAGCAAAGAAAGGGATCTTACCTTGCTGCTGAAGAACGATTTCCATTTAAGTGAACTTTGTGTAAAATAAAACTTTTAATATATCTTTATCAAGTTCCAATTTGTTACGTCGGCAGTCATTGTTGGTCTTATTTAAAATTTTCAAAAGTCTACTTAAAAAAAATTCTTCCAGCTATAATAGCTTTTCATTTCATATTTATTGGATGGGTTCGGTTATATTTAGTTTTGGGCTTTAACAACACATGGGAACATCCTGGAGCTTCTACTGCTATATATATAAGGGTTATGAATGCTTGGTTTAGATTAATAGAGACTTATGCTTATAGTGGGAGAAGGGAGAGACTTGACAATCTTGCAATACCAAAATCATTGATTCTGTTTGCCTATGTCTTCAAATCCAGTCCCACTGTTAATTAAAAATAGCAGTTTTCAAATTCAAATATAATATGAGTAGCATACGAAGGGCAGGAGGCTATGCACGTGGAATATTTTGTCTTTCCTTTTAAATAAATGAGGAAGCTCTGTTTCTAAACAATCAATATCTGAACATTGAATACTTTGCTAAGAAGACTCGACCACTTGACCAGTGATCAAAGTAGGCCTTCCATGTCACAGTTGAAGCCGAAATCCCACAACAATGGTTATTTTGTCAATGATTATATACTACATTAGAACATATTGCAAACTGAATTTAATATGATGTATCATGTGAACTTAAAATAATGGAAAATTGTTCTCATACGGAACTAATAAGTTACATTTTAAAGTTGTAAATTAATTTTTAAATACCAACATGCATTTGAAAAGTATATATTTCAGACACTATACATTCAAATAAGTTAAACATTTTATAATTGATACTTCCTGAGAGGTATGTGTAAAAATCTGGTATACTAATTAGATATAAGTTAATTAACAATTATTATGTATTAATGTTGCCTGGAAACATAAGGTCTATTGATGTTTCTTAACAAAAGTTGAAGTGCAAAATCTGCAACACTTTTTGTCAACTGAACCTGCCATTCTCTCTTAATTTCTTATCCTCCTCATTAAGCCAATAGGGGGCAGAAGTCATAAAAAAATTAAAGAACTAAAATAGGGAGTCACTCCCTTATGTAAACCTGAAAAACGGGTAGAGTGTAGTAAGGACAGCATCAGTCCTTCAAGAGATCCAGTAAGAAGGGAGTATCAGTACTGACGAGAATCCAGAATGGCTTAGGACAAAGAAGCTTCTCTGATTTGCATAGACTTTTGGGGAATAAAAGCCAGTCTGTCAAATGTTAAAAGTGAGTGCATGATGAGAAAATTACACCTTACCATGCAAGTGATTTTTCAAGAAATATGGCAGCAAAGATAAGAAAATGTTTAGCAATATCATCTAAAAGGAGCTTTTGTGGTTATTTTTTAGCTGTGAAAAAAAAAATCTTATATTTATTTTGTAGAAAAGGGGGGTAAATTGAAAAAAAAAGATTGGGGAAGTTGTCCAATGAAGTTTATGATCCTACAGTGTTCCAGAGGAATTAAGAAGGCCTAGACAATAGGCAGAATATATGAAAATAATGAAGGAAAATTATCTAAAAGATTTCATTTCTTCAGATGGGGCCACTATGGGTTATTTTTTTTTTCTTGTATAGTTATATATCTTTTTGAGGTGTGCTATAATGGGTAATCTGACCGGAAATGAAAGTATGGACAATGCAGTTCTCTTAGATCTCTTCAGCCTATGAAGAATATTCCTGAAAGGCAAGAGGAATAAAAAAATGAGAAAAGTATGTGTATAGAGATTGGTGAAGGAAAAGAATATTAAAGATCACTCATTGGATTATAATGATAAACTCTATATAAAGTAGGTGAGTTTATATACTCAGAATAAGAGTGAGTATTCTCTTAGAGAGAATTAAGGACTTAACATTAAGCATTTAATATTGGTAAAATAACTGTAGATGAAACCATATCTAACCTTTAAAAAGCAAGACAAAAATCAAACAAAGATAAATTTAAATGTAAAGAATGGGTTAAGAATATAATTGTTATGGTCAAATGAATACCAAACAACTTTATGAGCCAAAAAACGTACTCTTCCCTAGATTTCACTTGGCCAATATCGACTTTCAGTATATTCTAGTATCTTTAAAAAGTTTGTTTTACCATACAGTACATGAATATGTAATGTAACTTTTATAATTTTGTATTTATGTTTTATATAATGTTTATTATTTAGAACTAAGAGTGAAACAATTCTGTCGTAAGCTATGTAATAGACTTTTGAAGCATTGATTTTCACTGGAGACAGAAGTCTTGATATTAACAATGCCTCAGACCACTAGGCAGGAAAAGAGTGGATGATGAAGCACTTCATTAAGAGAATGAAAACTAGCTCTTCATGCACAGAAACCATTAAGAAGACTTTTTGTCAAATTTATCACCTTGTGGTAGATAAGAGTAAATCAAAAATCAAGTATAATTGCAATTTCTCAGAAATAGGCTCCATTTGTTCCAGCCATATAGCTTCCCTTTATGATTTCTTTGCTGTTATTAAATAAAATGCATGAAAAACTAATATTATCTGAAATTTTCCACATTTGAGTGTAGAAAACAGCGTAAAACAACTCTGAAAAGTTTCATCAAAACCTCTGGTGCCTAAATATTTATGAAGAGATAAAGAGATCATTTTGTGTTTCATCTGAAATGAGAAAATAAAAAGATTTCTGTACTGATATTGCTGTTTGACAAACATTCCCAGCATCTCTCTTTAAATGGATATGGCAAGTTTATTTCTAAACAATATAAATTGATACATTCTACACAGTATAAACTCATTTATTCCATGAAATAAATCAATAAATAATAGTTCTTTAAAAATCATTGCATTCGACAACTTTTTGTCTTAACTATGAAATAGTTTACTCTGAGTTAAAATCCAAATGCATTCATTTATATGCTTTAGATGATTACTAAATGACATTTAAAGCACCCAACATGTAGTTACAACTATAAAACATTAAACAATTATCTTTATGATACTTAACATTTATAAAGCATTAAAATGTTTTTATATTAACATATTGCATTATTTAATTATACAAATTATTTCACTTAATGTTTATAAAATATTTATAAATCTCTATAATCTATAAAACATTAAACAAGAGCAAAAATATTATAATATTTAATTCAGTGATTGAAATTAGGATGCTGAACATTTCAATAGTTTTGATAATAGAGTTGCTCCATTTAAGAAAACAAATGTTAGTATAAATGATGAACTCTTATGTCTTAATTTATTATTATAATTCTGTTAATGCATTTAAATTTTCCCTAAATGATTCTAAATAACTAGTCTGAGTTCAGTAACTAGGTATTGCCATATTTCACATCATATGGTAATGGTATGCTGTATTCTAAATGATCTAAGCTCTACTTGAGAATGCATTAATTTTATTTTACCTCAATATCCTCTTGTTAATCTATAAAATTGTTTTCCTATCAAGGTAAAATACACATTATATAAAATTGACCATTTTTACCACTTTAAGTGGACAATTCAGTTGCATTTAGTATGTTTACATTTTTGTCAAACCATTACACCATTTAGCCAAAACATTTCCCTCCATATCTCTTAATTTACATGTATTGTCAAAAATATGTCCTTTACAAATGATTTTACACGTTTCTACATGTATTTATAGAATTCATATTAAGAAAACAATTGAGTGAGAATAGAGTTGCAGGAGATACTTTAAAAGTTTTTTATTTCCTGTTCTGATATTTCTTGCTGTGTGATCCTGTTCTAAATTCTGCTTAGGGAAACATGATAAAGTTTGCCCACATGACTAATACTTTCCCAAGATTTTTGCTCTTGAGTCTATCAACCTTTCATTCAGAGATAATTATCTTCAAGTCTATCTCCCAACGAAACCTCCTCCTATAGCTTGACCGATATTATTCTTGTATGTCTTCTAAAATATGTTGGTGTTATAAAAGCTTCCTATTAAAATTAAAGCATGGGCCAATAACTTTATATTTTGAGCTAACACTTTATGATACTATACACATACTTATGCTTATGATTTGAACATTCTTTTAAAAAATTTATTTTGTATATCCCATATTATAACATGATGTTATAAGAGATACACACACACATAATAAATGGTTACTATAGTAAAACAAATTAACTTACCCATCATCTTACTAATTCATTCTCCCTCAACCACGCCAGGCTCCTCCTCATGGCAAAGAGAGTTATAATCTACTCATTTAGCAAAAATCCTAAATAAAATACACTATTATTAACTCTAGTCCTCATGTTGTGTATTAGATCTTTTAACTCGTTTATCTTGTATTTTTGCTATTTTGTATCCTTTGACCTACATCTTCCCATTTTCTCTCCCATACCCTGACCCTTATAATCTGTTTTTTATTCTTTACATATTTTACCTTTTTTAAGATTCCACATATAAATAAGATCACACAATATTTTTATTTATGTGCCTGGCTTATTTCACTTAGAACACTGTCCCCCAGGCCAATCCATGTTGTGGCAAATGGCAGGATCTCCTTTTTAAAGGTTGAATAGTATTCCATTATATGTGTATACCACAGTTTCTTATTCTCTTTGTCCACTGATGAACAACTACATTGTTTTCATATGTTGACTATTGGGAATAATGTTGCAATAAGCATGAAAGTGCAGATATCTTTATGAAGTGATAATTTCATTTCTTTTGGGTATAGACCCAGAAAAGGGATTGCTGGGTCATTTGGGGATGGAGGAATCTTTTGATATTAATTCAGAATAAAATCTGTAGAACTGAGTAAGACACCTCAGTTGGTGCTAGTGAAAGAAATTATATCTTCTTTCTTTAAGGGCAAAAT